GATTGAACTTATATAACACACACAATAGCTGGTTTGTATCTGCCATATGGATAGAGATTGATTCAACCCACGTAAAATTTACACCAGCTATGCAGAAACAAACAGTTGTAAAACAAGCCAATAGAGACGAGACTAAAAATCTTTGCAAATCTGCACCTGCCACGTGTAAAAATAAGGATTTCACAAAAAACTCTGCATTCATAAAAAATGATACACAACAAAATAATGTTGGTACTTTAAACATTCCCCTGTTAATTCAAAACTGAAATACGGAGAAGCGACTATTATGCTGATACCTATGTGCCGTGCCACCGAAATATGCCAGAAACGCCATATAGAGACCCGAAAACCGTCCATTTCCGCCATACCAAACATAAGAAATTTCATTTCACAATCGCGCGCGCACTATAAACGTCGACCCCAATGACGCTGCAGTTCGGCGTCTTCTACACCGATTGTGCTGGGACAGCGCTTCCGGTGACGATACAACGCGTCGACCCGCGTTGTATCCTCGGGGGCGGAGCTACGTCACAAGACGTTCCACGTTGCTACGACGCGCACCACTGTACATGCATTTCTATGGGCTCTGTGCGCGCTGCTGTGGAACGACGGTCGAGTCGGTGAAAATTCGAGAAAACAACACAAACTCAACTTTGAAGTAATCCCAAGCAACCAAATATATATATGTTACACACGTAGAGCTAATCTTGTTACACTGTTCAGAAGAGTTTCTGTGAGTTTTTGGCCTTTGTTTTCACCGCCGCGGGTTGCCAGGAGGTGAAAATGCCCGGATGTCCGCCCGAGGATAGCGTTGTCCGCGTATCGTGTAATTTCCGTCAATATTTCAGAATAATTCGAACAACTGGTAATAAAATTACGTCATTTGCCATGGCAAGATTTGTCGGGAAAAAGTAGGCTCTTATAGCATGTGCTATTATGCTATCAACGGACCTCATTTATCATATAAATGAAAGCTGCAGTTTCATTTATCTGAGCAATGCCTCGAAAT